GTAGTTTTACAAATATGTAATAGTAATTTAAATATTATGAATTAATAGAAGGAAGGAAAAAATAGAGATATGAATATAACTCATGTTTGCGATGATTGTGATATAGCAACTGCTTGGAAGTCTCTTAAATTAAGTGGTTGTGAGTACTAAGAACCATATCTTTGTCATGGTTGTGGCTCATAAAGCAGGAAAGAAAAGGGAAGAATCCAGAGTGCTGATGACCTTAGGCAATTTGATTCACAAAACATCTTGCACTGAGATCATGAGCTCTGTTTGGGTTCAAGTTGCCTCTCCTGAGCATGCAACTTGCCTTTGGCCATGAATCTTGTGGCTGTTGACATCGGCGTACTGAGAAAATTAGACACGAATGACAGAAGCACGCAAAGACTATAATTTTCTTACCATGTGCAGGAAGAACACCTTTCTCTTTGCTTGTGCAAATAGCCAAGTCAATGAGCTTATCACTCCGGTGAGTGCAAGCCACAAGTTTGGACAGCACCAACTCCATAGATCTCGTAGATGATTCCAGTCCAAGATACTGGTGGCATTAAATGACTCAAATTGGCCAAATCTTCCTAACCAATACCCAAAAGAGATTGGTGAGTGGAGCATGAATTCATCGAGGTTGTGTGGGCTGTCGCTTTTGAACATGAAAGGTAAAACGTAAGAAGCCTTCGTGGCCAGATCTTGCGGATAACATACATACCCGTCAACATACGTAACCCAAGGCTTAGCCGCCGGAAAACTTCAAGATATCTATCTTCGCATGCATTTCTATTACACTTGCATGTTTAATGTATTCTATCAGAATCTATGTGCGCCACTGTTTAGATAAGCTTGCGACCAGTCAAGGCCAAAAGCTATTTCTTCCAACTTAGTCATCTTCCTTATCAAGATGACCAAGTCAAAGGAGGAGAATAGTTGCTGCTACGCAATCTCTTAGCTACGTCTGAGATTTAGGCTTTGACTAACTCAAGCTGACATCCAAAGCTAAAATTGCAGCTAAGCCTAGAGATGGCGAACAACGAAGGCAACGCGCAGACTGTAGTAGACGAGAAACAATTTCGAACATAATTTTCTACTTTATACGAAATATTTTTTGCTCGGTAATCCGATTTCTTCCGTCTCTTCAACGACTCAGCTTAAGCACAGACAGCAATGCTTGTGAAAATATTTGTAATATTATTGATGAATAATAACAAGTTGATTATACGGGAGGAGATGGATGAGGATGGATGGAGCGGTAGATAAATGGAACCAATTTCATTTTCGAAAATTATAGTACGAGTTTGTGTCGAAATTGGTCAAATGTAATGCAATTTTGATGGATTGGAGATGTGATCCAACCTGAAATGGTCATCATCAAGAAAGATAGGTTGGTGCCGTAAGATGAGCGACAAGAATGCGGCGCTCCAGCCGTCGTTAGTGGATGTGATGGCTTGACCGCAGCTCGTCAATGAAAGGCTATATGAAGGCCTATGTTAATTAGATGTAGTCCACTTAATCTGATTTGAGGTAAGAACACACGATAGGGTTACACTCAACCTGGCTTTCCTTTTTTTTCTAATTAGTCTCTTCCAATATTGTTGAAAATATCATGTTTCTAATTAACAAACTCGATAGGATTGATTCTCCTAATTTATGCTTCCAATATGTAATTTTATAGGAATTTTTTTTTCAGTTTTATATAATTCTTTTTGCATTTCATAGATGAAAAGGAAAGGAGATTCATTTTTTTCTTAAAAAAAATGTACCGATCCATACAGAAATGGATAAATCTAGAAAAATATTTTGTATGACTTATTTTTAGAATGAATTTAAAAAATATTTAACTTTAGATTTTTGTCGTAGAGTGTCCCAATTTTAAAAATTCCCATAGTGCCCTGACTATATGAAAAAAATCATTTTATCCTTATAATATTAAAATTTATTTTATCATTTTATCCCTGGTCGCCTAACCCATCAACCCTTGCCTGTAGTTGTCGTGCTCATCGAAGGCTCTGGGTGATGATGGACCATCGCATGAGGACTATAGGGGGTGGCGGGACAACAAGAGCCAGCAAATGAAGGTAGCTAGTCCTCACACAATAGCTACAAGAGAAGGGGGCCAACCTTGCATGGCAGACTATTGTGTGAGAGCTATGAACGATGATAAGCCCTTGCACAAGAGTTACAGATGATGATGGGATTGACGAGAGTCACTAGAAGGGGGGCTTGTGTGAGAGAGGTGGCTAGCCCTCTTGCGAGGTTTGCAAGTGGTGGAGGGACGACAAGGGCCAATCAGAGGGAACTCACGCGAAGGAGGTGGCTAGTCTTGTGCGAGGGTTATAGTCGGTGGCAAGACAATGAGGATTGGTGGGCTAGTGAGGTTGTACAACGAAGGGTTATAGTCGGTGGCAAGACAATAAGGTTGTACAACGAAAGGGCGAAGCTACACAACGGAGGAGCTGATCGAGGAGTAAAAGGTGAAGGGGCAAAATGATTACTTTTGAAAAAAAAAAACATCTTGTAATAATTTTTCAAATTTCAGGCGCTATGTAAAAAAATGTAAAGTTGAAAATTTTTTTTTCATGAATTCCCCCTTATTTTTATCTTTCTATATATCGGACGAGCATAATCTATTATTGATATCAACAACTCTTAAGGGATTGAGTTAACATTATTTATCTCAGCCCAAAAACTATATAATTATATTACCACTTCGATTAAAGAAATTAGCGAGCTCCTTATCTTAAAATAATCATTGTCAAATTATATTACCATATGATTTTATAGGAAAAATGACAATAATATGATCCTCGATCTCCTTATTTTAAAATAATCATTGTCAAATCCAGCTCTAACTTCAACAAATATCATCTACTCAATTCAGAATTAAAAGATAATTTGACATTTATTCCATCAATCTACATCGTAAATTAGTTCAAAAAATCAAGTAGTAATTATTTTGGTTAAATGATGTTAGTGTACAGTACTCTAGCCGTAGTATAAAGAGGCTAGCAATGGTTAAGTCTATGATTAATATAAAATTAATCGTAATGATCGAAGATATAACACAAAAATAATAAAGGTTTAGGACAAGTCCTTTTCTTTATTAATATTCATTATTTTGATAGTAGAGTTTACCTAATCAAAATTTGAAGATAGTGGCAAAGCAGAGCATAAGTTCGAATCGGCTCTTTTTCCGGTGTCCAACGAAAAATATTCATGATATGTTTGTTTTTCTTGGAGTTTCATTCAGATGCTAAGTGTAGATGGACTTTGCTCGTAAGAAGGAATGCTCAAACATATATCAACTCCTTCCTAATAGCCTAAGCTCTCTACATTAATTGGATATAAATTTAGTTGTACTCTTAAAATCTTGTCTTAGGTCGATTCCATCCCATCCCGTTTAAGTTATTTTAGTGCCTAATCATTAGCGATGTCTTCATCGACTTCGAAGCGGCATCGATGGGGGACAAACTTCGAGAGATAGATGCAACATCATGTTCTTTTCCTTACAGAACTATTGTCATGAAATAAAGAAGGCAAGAACAAAGGCACAGCTGGCCGACTGAGATCGATGAGACCTCGGCTTTTGTATGAGGATCCGATAGGAAGACTGAAACGTCCCCATTATTTTCTGACCTGCAAAAGGAGTAAAGGATGATGGGTATAAGCCATTCCATCAAAGTGCCCTTTAAAATGTCTTTGCCAGACCAAGGCCTGGGCATGGCATGCATCAGCTCATATCACACTGAGATTCCATCCTGGTGCCCTGCCACAACATAAGACAACTCCTTTGTCGTCCCACAGCTCTTTCGTCTCTATAGCAGACAACTCATCACGTACCAGTTTGCCGTCTTTAAAGCGATGCATCCGATCTTTCCTAGTCATACATGATCTGGAACTTGTGATGGTGCGGACGTCTCATGCGACAAACCTAACTGCGTCTATCATATGTCACACCGAGTTGTAAGATTACATGAACCAAGTGTTAGTACAGCAATGCTATTTATGAGAGTGTTTTGAAGTGTAATTCCTGAAACCTCTCGAGGCTTTTTCTGATTGTGAAAGCGCTTTGGAGTATGAAGGACCTATCTGGAGTCAAAAGAAGCATGAATATGGAACGATGTCCACCAAACAACTATACCTATAATGACCATCATTGCGCTTGTGGGCGTGTTCTTCTTTTCTTTTTTCTTTCCGATAGATTGTGTCTCACATTGGGAGGGAGTAAAGCTCAACAGCTACCAGTAATGGCAGGGGAGCTTTCCCCTAAGTGATCAGAAATAAAGCAAGACAATGACGCAGTTGCAGCAATGCAGGGCGAGAGAAAATTATGATAGTGGCAGAGTTTTCCCAGGCGAATATGACAATAGAATTAGCTGCATCTGACATTAATCATATCTTGGTAAACTCGTTACAATCCTCAACAAAGAAAGAAATCGCTAGCAGTTTAACTGGAACAGTACTAGCACAAATTAACATGCCCATCTTGCTTGCTCGCATGCCTGCCTGCTTCTTTTCTACTACGGAGCATATTAGCCTAAACAAAGTGCTACTAATAAAAAACCACGCATGTACTCGTACATTTGTTTTCGTTTCGCATTGGTAAGGCTTGATGGCTCACAGCACAGCTTCTCAGAAGAACTGACGAGCAGGAAGCACCGGCTCACGGCCGGCCGTGGTGGTAATGGTGATGGTGAACGAAGTAGGAAGGTGCAGGAGACGGCGATGGGATAATGGCCGGATCGGTGGCGTTTTGAGCGTTGCTGGGAAATGGTGTTGGGGTGAGGGTGGGCATG